AAATCCCCTGATCTGAACTTAAAAAATTCAGATAAAAAACATTCAGAACATTCAGATGAGGTGAGGAGAACACGTTCTAATTTTATGTGGGTGGAGCAAGGTTAAGGGTAAGGTCAAGACCGTTCTTGAAAAGGCCGCCATCAACATTGCTGTCATCCACCGCGGAAGACGAGTCTGAGAAGCTGTGAGCGCCGCCGTTCTCTCCGCATTTGGCAGATATAACAGCCGGCGGCTGGAAGCAGTACGCCAGCCCGTGGTTGACCACCCCGGGTGCCCACAGTCCGTGATAGACCAAAACCGGTTGACCATTTGGCAGGACCGCCACATGAGCCGGCTGTCTACGGGCAAAAGAGTGCGGGTCATTCATCGGCGCAAGGGCGGCGCGTGCAGTGAGTTCAAGCTTTGGGGGTGGTCGGGGCGCGTGAACGCCACTGCCAGTTGAGAAACACTCCAACGTGCTGGTGTGGGTTGGGTTGCTCTTTCCCGACGGGAAGGGGAAGTTGGTCTTCGCCTTAGCTCCGCGGAAGGCCCTCGCGGCGGCGTCGTAAGCCCTCGCCGCCTCCTCCGCGGTGTCGAAGGTGCCCAACCAGACCCGGGTCTTCTTTCCCGGGTCTCGGATTTCGGCGGCGAAACGTCCCCACGGCCTCTTCCGCACACCCCTGAAGCGCACCTCCTTAGCGCCTCTTGCATTTCTGCGTCCGCCGTTACCGCCGCCGGCGTGTCGCCCTTCGAGAGCCATATAAGGAAATTTAAAAGAGGATATAATGATAGTGGACGGAGAGAATATGAGTGTAAGAGGTTATATCGCGGGGGAGATATGGGCCAGTGCGTGGTCAAAGAGAAGATTGACCGGAGGAAGAGTGTAATTATGGAAGATAACGTGGCAAGCAGGCGTTTCAGTGGAAATGGGTTGATTATTTGGGTGCCGGCTTTTCAGTCGGCCGGCCTGTAGGCTATGCTCTGCGTGGCGTTCATATTTCACACGTACCAAGTATAACATCGGCGCCGATTCCGCCGGTTGAACCGATTATGGATAACCATGACAGCATCCATTCTTAAATAAATACCACCTACTTTCACACAAATTTGATCATAATATATATTATTCCCTATTAATACAAAATTAAAAATGTGATTTTGAAAATTTGTAATGAGACAAATTTAACAGCAATTTATTTTAAAAAAATTATTGATACATTAATAAGAAAAATGTAGTCAAAATAGAATATGTGTATAATGTAAAATTCAAATGCTACATTTATTAAAGAGCAAAGGAGATAGTATAAGATACACATGAAGTATAACAAAAGGACGTTTTTTTTAAGTAAAACATGGTCGTATAAGCTAAACATATAAACACGAATTCATGTTTTATATTTTCTACATACGCAATTGTGTATTACTTTTATATTCTTAATATAATTAATTGTCTCTAATTCTCTCTGAATAATTAGAACAATTTAGTGGGAGCCGCAATGCCATGACGGTTAATGGCAGCTCGATGGCTAATCCCCAATCCACGTAGGAGTAATTTTATTCAATCATTAATGAGGTTTCCAATTTAGAAAATTTTATTCAATCATTAATGAGGTTTCCTATTTAGAAAATTTTAAACATCAACTTCTATTTTTACATTTTTAACATGCTTTACACTCCGAATTGAGGGATATGTCTCATGTTTTTTATTTAATTTTATTCGTTTATGTCTGATTTGACCAATATAGTTTGGTATATATTGGTCTCATAAAAATTTGTTTTATGTATGCTTTAATATTGATTTAGAATGGTCTGATTTAGAATTGATTGGAATAAATCATCATCTCATCAACATCAATAGACCAAACACACCTTCTAGACTCCTTAAAGCCAACAGGCCCACTCACTTTTGGATCAGACATAGAATAGATCACCCAAAAATAAGCGAGGCTAATCAGCCAAAACAGTCTGATTGTTTCCATAGAAATTATTAACTAGCGAATTAAAAACCAAGACCAACCTACCACCCCCAAGAGTCAATAACAACAATAAGAGTAAAGTACTTAAGAAACCAAATTAATATAATTAAACATGAATAACTAGAGATCATTCGGTGAAACTTCTCCGCTTTACCCTTATTCTGATACTTTTGCGGGATCTTCAACAATGTGTCAGGCGAGCCACAAAGCTGCAACTCGCCTCCTTCTCGACACCCTCGGTTCCACCTCCATGATATTACTGACTGGCTCATCCATGATATTACTAACTGGCTCATCCTCCTCTTGATCGATATGCTCTCTTGCGATTTTTCTCTATTTTGTCTCATGCATGCACATGTACCCTTTCTGTAACCATACCGCTCTGTCCTTCTAAATCTGACTTAGCCGCTGCCCCCTTATTGCTTTGGATCTGCCCCTTATCAGCCCGGAATAACCACTTGTTTCCTCCGGCCTCTACAGTCCCTTTTGTAGCTCTAAGCCTAGGCCCGAAAGGTTTTCCCCCTAACTTCACGCCTCCCTCAGGATTGCGAGGACAATACTTCTCAAAATGTCCAATGATGGCACACAAGAAGCTAAAACTAGGAAATTTCTCATTATTCTTTTTGCAGGAATTGAACAGTTTCAATTCCTTATTCTTTTTGCAGGAACATTTTCCTTCTCAAGGGTCTACTTAAATCCAAACTAACTCTTATTCTCATAAAGGGGTTCCATTTAACAGAAAAATTATATTCATCAACCTTAATGAATCTCTCTAAAAAATTCCAATTTTCACAGCATTGTTCATAGTAAAATAGCCTATCTGAATGTCCATGAACCCGTATCCAAAACTCAGCTCTATTCAGCGGAACAATTATAGGTAAATCCCCTTCCTCAAACTTATACAGAATAAGATTTTTATCATATATCCAAGGACCTTCCTCCAAAATACGAAACATATCATTCTTGTTATAAAACTGAAACATATAGTGTCTAGCCCCCGATTCCGTTACAGTTACAACTTTAACAGGTTCCCACATGGATGCCATAGTATCTCGGAAAGTAGAGAAACATACATATTTTCTGATGTGATGGTCCCCATTCAAGCGCTAGCCCCACATCCGCCACGCCAAGATCTGTGGCTTCCACCAATAGAATCTCATCATCTTCACCCATCTCCATTGTGTCGTAAGCATGAGTCTACATCTCCACCTCGTTCTGCCCGTGGATCGCCTCCATCTCCTGGTCAAAATACTGCACAAACTCGCACAGTTTGAAGCAAGCTACATCTGCACTGCACCACATGATCGTCCAAAGTAATCCTGCTCAATCCGATTCGAGCGAAGTACAATCGCTATACAGAAGCTTTGTACGAAGAGAATCCCTACACTACCCTGCTCAACAAATAAGCCGAGCCACTGGCCAAGCTATACCGCTGCCAAAACCCGTTCGAACCTAAGAATTCAAAGCAATAGAAGTTCCAAAACCTACGTCAATAAGTTTTTATTTTATAAATACAAATTATTGTCATCTTTAGATTTTACAATCGACTTTTCGCATTACCAAACATACATACCTTACACAATATTGTTTCCAAAATTAGGACTATTTTTCTAGTATGACAATAATTATTCCAATTTAGAAAATAAAAATGGTTTTACCTTTTTGAAATTTCACATTCTTTTAAGAGCATCTCCAATGCAATAATATGCACGGTGCGCATGTGACATGAGAAAGGTAGAGATAGAAAAACAAATCATTCATATTTCTCCCTCTCTTTCAATTATTTCCAAGGTTTAATATAATTTTAGTAATATTTCACAACAATGTCAATCGTTATGTCTATAAAACTCTTATCAAAAACATATAAAACTCCTCAAATAAAGAGAGAGATGTATGTATTGTTCATTAATAAATTGAGAAGACATCTCAACTATCCAAATATACACTATGATGATATGATGAAAAGCCAAGGTTATTTTAGTATCACCATTTGTTTTCAGTTTTTGGTAATCAACATAGCAGTTAATACGTGTTGTCGAACTTAGGAAAGAAAAGAGTAAGCCTTTCAAATATTTTAGTTTACTTTTCCAGATCAACCGTTGTTATTTATATGATAATTTGCTACAAAATACCTTACTAATATTTCTAGTATTCACCAGGTAATTTTCAACATTCTTTTGCTTTTTCGTTTTCTATATTGTTAATATTCACCATATTTTTATATATTTTTAACATATTTCAATTTTTGTGAGTTAGATATTAGCTATTGTGCATTTTAATTAATTATATTTTAAGTGCATCAAATAAATGCTATTATTTGATTCTCTTATTTGTATCTCTTTTACAACATTCTTCAAACTTATGTGTAACTCTTTTCCGAAAAAAGTGTCCCACTTAGATTGAGCTATTATTACCTATAGAAGTTACCTATAAGAGTAAAAATAATGTGATTTTTCTAAATAGGCCTGGAGTGTTATGTATTTGCTCTAAAAAGAGTAATTATAGCATGTTTGGAAAATATTGTCAATTATGACATCAATAACGTCATATAAATATTTAATAATGCTAAAACATGGTAGTATGATTTCAAGATGAGTAAATGGTCAGTTTGGTCCTCAAAGTTGCATAAAAGGGGTCAAATAAGTCCTTATTTGATGCAATTTTTTTGAAAAATAGTGTGTTTCGACTTTTAAAAAGAAAATAATAATAATTATTTGGCATTTTATACTTAATTAATAAAGAGTAAACTAAATATATTTTGATCACGGATCGTCTGGTCGATGATTTAACATTAGTAGTGTATAGTAAGTCTAAGATATTCCTTTTTATATTGGAACAAAAATAGTAGATATTTAAACAAAAATAATAGGAAATAATACTCCGTAACTAATTTGGTAGCAATTTGCAAACAATCTTTTAATAAAACAAGATTCTGGAATGGGAATCAAATGATATTGATGATATGGTAATTAATTGCCAAGTATTTTTCCTCTATATAAATGATGGAGTCATTAACTTCAATTTCATACATTTTTTCAATATCAACAACTACAACAAAAGTTATTTGAAAGTAAGACTAAAGCAAGACTATAGATAACCATAATGGACTCCTTGCCTCTTTCCCTCCTCGCCTTTGCCACCATCTCCAGCTTCCTCTTCGGTATGGTTTAAATTGCCTCACATTTTTTAACTATTTTTTAACCGCTCTCGAAATTTCAATGTTCAAATAATAATAAAATTCTAATAATTGTTTCCAATGAATCATAAGAATTATATATCAAGGCACATGTCATAATCGTGGATTACAAAAAATTACACATTTAAATACCATCCCTCCTTTATTTGGATCGCCTAGTTGACTTGCTCCAATATGATATTGTCTCTTGTTACGCTTGCTAGTGTTACGTTTCCATGCAACATACTCCATCACAAGAGTACATGTTTAGCATGCTACATTTGGTATAGTACATAATGACAAAAATGTTGACTTTTAATTTTATGAATAATTTGATAGGAGCCGTTCAATCGACTAAGTTCACAGTCATCAACAATTGTCCGTACACAATATGGCCGGCAACACTCACCGGTGGTGGGAAGCCGCAGCAAACTCCTACCGGATTTGAATTGGCACACGGCGCATCGACCTCTTTCGACATTACCGCTCCATGGACAGGCCGTTTCTGGGCAAGAACACAGTGCTCCGCCGACCAATCCGGCAAGTTCTCTTGTGTAACCGCCGATTGTGGTTCCGGCCAGCTTGCATGCAATGGCGCCGGAGCAATCCCCCCTGCCACTCTAGCAGAATTCACTCTAGGCGGTTATCAAGGTCAAGACTTCTATGACGTCAGCCTTGTCGACGGCTTCAATCTCCCGATTTCCGTAGTCCCGGACAACAACAAGTGCCTTTCCACATCTTGTCCGGTATGATGTAATACACACAATACATACAATTCAACCCTAATGTTGTTTATATTTGACATATGCACACTATATTCAACATCATATTATTATTACTGATAAGAACAAAATTATTAATGATATGATGTTAACACCTAGACATATATAACAATTAGAAAAAAATAATGAGAGATTTAATTGGATTATTGAGAACATCTATCGAGAAGCAAAATATTAAAAAACTAGTATCTTAGAATAAGAAAGTTGCGTCTTGACCCAATGATAATGGCAGGTTCTTGACTACTATACACACACACAGTTTAGTTAAATGAAAAACTGATAAATTCTTCAAATATGGACACATTTTTTCATATGATATGTTAGTGAATTAAAATGCCCCAATTATTTGTGTATGTGCCCTAATTTTAAAAAAGAAGTGTTACATTTTTTATTTTGTATATCATTATGACCTTAATAAATTAGGTTGACGTGAACGCGAGGTGCCCGCCGGAGTTGGCATGGAGGAATAGCAATGGTGCAACAGTGGGATGCAAGAGTGCATGTTTAGCTTTGAATCAACCTCAATATTGTTGTACCGGTGCTTTTGGCACACCCCAAACCTGCCCACCAACTCAATATTCCAAAATTTTCAAAGGAATGTGCCCGCAAGCATACAGTTACGCATATGATGATAAAACAAGCACTTTCACATGTCAGGATGGACAAGCCAACTACGCAATCACTTTCTGTCCGTGAATACAGACACACACAAACATAAATTGTACTTTAAAAGTTTATCCTAATAAAAGATCAGAGAGAGGTCAACATATCATAGATGACATGTAGTTTAGACAAAAGGTTTAGTATATTTAGTTTTTCATAGCGGGACTGTGTTATTCAATTTTTGTGTGTCAATTATTATTATTACTATTATTATCACTATTAATATAAGTTAATAAAAATATTGATAGTATGTGTATTCTTTTATTATCTAAGTCTTGTATGATCCAGTATGAGACTAAAACTAGCTCTATTAAAAACATTCTATGCATTAATAAAAAAGAATGAAAAGAAACAAGAAAGCATCAAATGTAGATAGGGGCGATAATAAATTCAAATGCATATCGATCATTCATGGAAACTAAAGCATTAACGTGTTTTTTTTTATGATTTTTTTTGTGCATGTTTCTCATGAAATGTAGATGATGTCCACCAAATTTTAGCAAAATAATTCAATCGCGAAGACAATCAAAAGTTTTTTGAAAATAACTGCATTTTTATGTATAATTTGGTGCAATTATTTTCAAATATTTATTTGACTACGCAGTACAAAAAAAGGATCCAATACCGATTGAAGTATGTGATCATACCGAGTGAATTTTTTGTTAAAATTTGGTAGACATTATCTACACTTCATGGGCCGGGGAACATGCACAAAAATGTTCACCAAAAAATACCAATGGGAACCACCTCAAAATGAGGTGGGCCGAACGGCAGCTCTGTTATACTTTTGTAATTTCCATTTGTATCTTTGCATTTTTAATTAGTTTTGTTGTTTGGTATTTTAGAAATTACACACTTTTAGTGTAATACTTTAGTTTGTTAAAATATTTGTAATTTATTTAGATTAAGATTATTGTGAGCTTAGAACAGGTCAAAATCATCCAAAGGATTAAAGGATGGATCCTAAAGACCAAAGAATGTGCAAAAGGGGGAAGATCAATTGAAGATTTGAAAAAATGTTCATCTACTGGGTCGGGTATATGCAAATAATGCAATACTCGATCGGGTATTGACAGGATTTGCATGTCAAAATCAAATCCGGAAAACAAATGATCGTGGCTTGAAAATATTCGAAGGTTTGGTCTCATACCCGATCAGGTAGACTGACACACCCCGGTCGGGTATGAGTTGATTTTTACAGTGTCCCGGAAGCTACTGGGTACCTGATCAGGTACCCTAAATACCCGGTCGGGTACACAACCCTGCCACCTTCACACACCTATAAATAAACCCTTTTCCTTCACATTAAATTACCCAATTCCTTTATACTCTAAGCTAAGTTTAGTCAAGTACTTTCTTTATATTTTTAGCATTTTTATCTCCAAGTGAGGAGTTAAACTCTTCCATCTTGATTTTGCTACATTGAAGCTTAATGATTTGTCACTTGTGAGTCATGTTCTTTAATCATCTTCCTTAAAAGATCAACTAGTTTTGTTTCATACATTAATTATTTCTAGAATTGATCGACGAATACGCTTGTTAATCGTTCGGTCCTTTCACGGTAGTAAACTTGGATTATTAATGGATATATGCGTGTCATGGTAAATAATCTAAGGGGAATTAATTATATTGATTAAACCAATAAACCGCGTGTGTTGATGTTATCAATCTCAATCGTTTTCATCTTAAGTTTTATTGCTATTATCGGGTCAATATACGGCACATGTTCTATATTGACTCGGTAGTAAGTTTTATTAATGAACGTGTCTCGTTATAAAATAACTACCCTCGATGAATTGGAGATACTTCTCGATTGAGTATTTGAGAGAAAGATAGTTAAAGATATAACCGGGATCGACGAACATTTCATTTAGTGGATATAAGCAAAACCAAGTCTCCATCTCTAATTAATTAAACCACTTAAGTCATTCAACTTAGTGTTTAAATATATTTCAATTAAGTTCAACAACAAACTTAAAACCTCCCTTTGTTACTATTTAATTAAAAGAGAAATATTCCTTTAATTTCTCCGCGGGCTTACGAAACCTTACTACACTATATACTACGTGTATAAGTGTTACGTTGTATTGATTATTATTTTGAGGCTCACTACGACAAATGTGCCGTCACTCTGGTCAGGTATACTTGACCGGAAGATTTCTCTCTCTCTCTCTCTCTCTCTCTCTCTCTCTCTCTCTCTCTCTCCTCTCCTCTCTCTCTCTCTCTCTCTCTCTCTCTCTCTCTCTCTCTCTCTCTCTCTCTCTCTCTCTCTCTCTCTCTCTCTCTCTCTCCTCTCTCTCTCTCTCTCTCTCTCACTCTCTCTCTCTCTCTCTCTCTCTCTCTCTCTCTCTCTCTCTCTCTCTCTCTCTCTCTCTCTCTCTCTCTCTACTCTCTCTCTCTCTCTCTCTCTCTCTCTCTCTCTCTCTCTCTTGTCACTCTCGTCAGGTATCCTCATCTATTGTCATGTGTTACTTTAAATAATACATCTGTTATATTATGTGTGTGTATTTATTTGTCATAATATATTGTATACAATTGAAATAAAATTTTGCACACGGCAATAATACAAATTACAAATACATACTCAAAAATGAAAATAAAAATTAACAATTTTTAACTTCTCTTAAAATAAAAATATTCCTCTTTATTTCTTTATCCATAAATTTTTGCGGATACTTCCTTTCTCAGGTTTTTTATAAACTGTTTCATATTTCTTTCCAAATAATAATAATAATAAATCCATTTGTCTCATTAAATTTCACACACATTTTCTTTTTTCATCCGTGCACTAGATTAGTCTATCTCCAAATATTGTAATATCTAGCGCTAAATTATTCTTACATTGTTCGATCCTTCTTTTCTAATTCAATGTTAACTACATATACTCTTTTTTGAAAAATTGCACACGTCTCAATCTCAATGATACATATTACTTATCAATTTGTTAATTGACAAGGTCTATTGAATCAATATCTAAATGTAGATTCACTCTTTTTGTCTCATATTTATGTATACCCCCTCCACAATTTATGTTTCGTGTTGTCAAATGGGTTAGCACTCCACGATCTTACCCAACCCATGATGAGTTTTACTTCTCATGGCTTAGATCTGCCTAATTGCCTAATGGTAGGTTATTTTTTCTAATTCGTGGGTTTCAAAAGCTGTCACGCAGATCAATGTAAAAAATATACAATAACTAAATAGTATATATATATATATATTTGAATATATATATATATATATATATATAGTAGACAGATCAAGTACAAACAGTGCTTATTATGCAAACACTAAGTAATCGATATACATGAAGGGGAAGGTCATTTAACTTTGTCTTCAATGGTAGTAAACAATATTTGCACAATAATTAAGCACTATTGGTAGTAAATGGTCAATGTTGAAGAGGGTGAAAGTCAAAATTAGATGTTTGTATATTGGTGAACTCGCAACCTGCGTGGGTCATGAACGTAACACACTTAGGGCATGTTTGGTACAACTAGCTGAAAAGATACTTTTGTGATCTTTTTAATAACTGTTAGCTTTTAGTGACTGAAAAGTTCTTAAAAAGAAAAGGTGGTAGCTGTTTGATAAAAAGCTGACTGTTTGATTTAGTTCGGTTTGGTATACAAGCTGTTAGGATTAATTAATACTAAAAGTCACTAGCTTTTCTTAGATGCTACTCCCGGTAGCATCTCAAAAAAGATCTTTTAATTTTTGAAAAACTCTTAAATATTGTCATGCCAAACACCAAACTAGAAGCTTTTAGGAACTTTTTGAACAGTACAAAAGTTAGAAGTCAGGGACTTATGCCCGCCAAACATAGCCTTAACCTGCAACCCATGTAAGTTGACTCACGAAACCGGTGAATTCATTGGGTCAAAATTAATAACTCTAACTCACCATGTAATGTGATGAAATAGCTAGCCGTATGGACTTTGACTCATTTTGACAATCTTATCCATATTCAACTGAATTTTCTTTTACTCTGATTGATGAACTCACATACAATTTATTGTCACTGTACGTAATTTTGAGAAAAACTTTAAGCACGTATCTTACCGTGCAGTGCACGGGCACACACACTAGTATATATATGTCTATCTCTCATATCACATGTGTATCGATCGTTTACATGTGACGTGCACTTTGTCGTGATGTGCACTCAAAATAATAATACAATACGACACTAATACGTAGTATAGTGTAGTAAGGTTCGTATCCACAGGGAAAGGAACACTTCTCTTTTTATAGAAATAAATAAGTAATAACAGGGGGGGTTTATGTTTGGTTGATGAACTTAAATTATCTTTTTAACACGAAGATGAACGAGTTATGTGGTTTAATTAATGAGAAGGAGACTTGGCTTTGCTTTTATCCACTTAATGAAATGTTCGTCGATCCCGGTTATATCTTTAACTATCTTCCTCTCGAATACTCAATCGAGGAGTATATCCAATTCATCGAGGGTAGTTATTAATAACGAGATGCGTTCATTAATAAAACTTACTATCGAGTCAACATAGAACAAGCGTCGTTGATACGTTTGTAATTTCCGTGTGCTTATCTACGTTTTTAGTTAGTTTTGGTTGTTTAATATTTCGGAAATTACACACTTTCGGTGTAATAGTTTAGTTTGTTAAATTCTTGTAATTTGTTTAGATTAGGTATTTTTCTGAGCTTAAACAGGTCTACGAGCACTCAAAGGATAGTTGGTGAACCCCAAAAGTGGACAGAAGGTACAAAAATCACAAGACAAAAGGAAATCCTGATTTTTGTCTATACTCGGTCGAGTATATACATATACTCGATCGGGTATCTGGTTGACATTTCAAATCGGATCGGATCCGAAAACAAAGGAACATGCAGGAGAAGATTTTCCCACGATCGAGTGTCTATACCCGATCGGGTACACTTATATACTCGATCGGGTATACATATAAAATCTACTCGAGTATTGATCGAGTATTGACCGAATTCTGATTTCTACACATACTCGATCGAGTATATGTATATACTCGATCGAGTACCCGACCTGCACCTCAAAAAGCCTATAAATACACCTCCTTTCCTTCACTTTTAGGAATCCCTTCTTCCATACTCTTAAGCTCAGTTTAGAATAGTATTTCTTTTATATTTTTTATAGCATGTTTAGTCTCCAAATGA